ACCTTTGACTGTAATTGTCGGTAATTGAGTCACTTTAGCATCCCCTTAAGGGGTAAAGCCACTCTAGAATTTTCAAAAAATCGATTTTTTTTGTTAAACAATGCTTTAAGGGGATCCTAAAGTGAAGGCTGAACTTCCTCGACGTCGGTAATGTCAACATTTCTAATTCTGTTTTCTTGTCATATATCTATATCTGTCCTTGTCTAACGAGAGACACCTGTCTTTGTTCGATTACTGCGCCATCTCTTGCCACACGCAATATTGCTTATCCTGTCAACCTGAATGTGCTTTTGCACATATAAAAGTTATATAAAGTAATCTTTTTTTCTAGGTTTTCAATCTTAGATCTAATTGCACGATATTGTTCTTAAATGTTGTCCCTAGGTCATGCCGGTCTAATTTTGTGGATATTTATCGTGGAATTTTTGTACAAAGCAAATATTGTCGTCACGTATACCAAAAATTAACAAAAATATTAATTTTTTTTTCGTTTTCGATATAAATTTGACCACCATGACCTAGATTTTGATGCGTACTTTAATTCTAGACAAGAATTTTGTATTTCTATAAAGTCAATTAAAAGATTAGTGCTAAGAAAAAAAGCCGGTATTACAGACGGCTTTAGGATCCCCTTAAGGTCTTAGAAATAAGGTACTTGGTTTCAAAGCTCGGAAAAATCTCTATTATCCTTTTTTCGTAATCCGTCTGCCGCCGCGTTCACATCTGTGAATGGTGAAACTGAAACTTTAAACATGTTTTCCTCGAAATCGCTTTTTTAAAGTCGGGCGGAATCAGAACTCGAACACCTTTTATCTGATTGACTTGAAATTTTGAGTGAAACTTTGCAATAACATTATCTATAGAAGTACCTAGGCATTTTGTGATAAGTTGAACAAAACTTTTTTTATAAACAATTTTGTGCGACATTCTTTAGCGAAAAATGAAGCAGTTTTTTCCAACATGCACCATTCTTACAAAAAATGATATTTCGCAATTCCCCTTATAGGTACTTCTATAGAAAAACTTATATATTTTTCAAAAATTTTTGAATTTTTGTTCCAGCTCAGAAATTATAGGAGCTTTGATTCCGCCCGTTGGACGCCTTCCGCAAAAAGGCACTTTGGAGCAATGGCTCTGGTGCCATTTTGGCAATAAATAATTAATAAAATTTTTTTTTATACTTTAATATATAGATAATAAATAGAATTAAACCGATTTTCATTTATGATTATTGTATTTCTGAAAAAAATTATCAAAAATTGGCTTTTTTTTGGGACTCTAGAGTGGCGTTACCCCTTAAGTTAAAAAACGTTATTTCATAATTTATTATAGTCGATGTTTTTCTTAGTTATTACCTATAATAAATATTTTTTAAATTTTATATCTATAAATTCCATATATATATATATATATATATATATATATATATATATGAACGTTAGTGATCTATCATCTGGACGATCACGTACCTTGAAGAAATAATTCTCGCAGCACAACATACTTAGTAATACTAGATGAATATCATCTACAGTCATTTGTTATTATTAATAATTGTCTGATACCAATTTTATCATTTATATCACTTTTTCGACTAACTCTTATATCTATGGCGTAAACTTATTAACTTCTTAACTTCTTAACTTATTAACTTATTAACTTATTAACTTATTAACTTCCTTTTGTTTTCAAGTACAAATAAAATCTCTAAAATTCTCTTAAAAGATTACTTTCTTATTCTAAATTAAAGTATAAATAATGATTAATTTAATGATAATATTGGGGAGACCGGGGCACCATGAGCCACAAAAATTCAAACTCTAAAAGGTATCTTTAAATATAAGATTTTTGTCATTTTTTTTTTAATAATTAAAGCACTATGTATATTTTAAACTTTATTTAGCGTATTTGGCAAATATTGATTAGTTTTTGAGAAAAAAATTAATACACATTTTTTTGAGAAATGATCTAAGGTACCCCATACCCAAGGCACCATGGGTCTGTCACTGGGGCACTATGAATGACACACAAAAACTAGGTTTATTTATTCAAGAAATAACGAAAAGTTACAAAAGTTGAAAAGAAATTGTATTTTATACGTTTTCTGGGGGGAGAACACGATAACTGGTGCCCCTTGATTTAACTGTGGTTTCTGGTAGTATTTTTTACGCTAAACAAAAAATTATATAGATCTTATAGGGCTAACTGCTTTAGTTTTCGAGACATGCAGTATTAAAGCTCAAAATAAATATAACTTGGTAAATGTCTAGATTAAGGGCGGACCTCACCGATTTCAATGATCTTGATATATGTTGTCAAGGTCATGACCCCGAGTGACCTTCAGAAGGTTTTAGCCATCGCTCGTTATTTGTTAAAAAGTTATTAACAAAAAAAGTTTTGAAAATATAGCAGCTATTTTGAGTATTGGAAGACATATAAATAACTAATATATATGTTGAAATAGTTCACTACGTAGGTTAGTGACGCGCTTTAAAAGTATTTAAGTGTTTAAAGCACGCCACGAACCCATGTGGCACCTTGTTTCGCATGGAAAGTGTATGCGTGAATAATTTCGACATATATATTAGTTATTTATGCCTTCCAATACTCAAAATAGCTGCTATATTTTCAAAACTTCTTTTTGTTAATAACTTTTTAACGAATAACGAGTGACGGCTAAATCCTTCTGAAGGTCACTCGGGGTCATGATCTTGACAACATATATCAAGGTCATTGAAATCGGTGAGGTCGTCCTTAAATCTAGACATTTACCAAGTTATATATTTATTTTGAGCTTTAATACTGCATATCTCGAAAACTAAAGCAGTTATCCCTATAAGACCTATAACGAGACCTATATAATTTTTTGTTCAGCGTAAAAAATACTACCAGAAACCACAGTCAAATCAAGGGGCACCAGTTATCGTGTTCGTGCCCGTTTTCTTATGACACTGTTCAGGATTAAGCAGGACAAACATATGGGCTGCGTTCCTTTTGATGCTTTCAGCGCTGTAAGCATTATTCTATCTCCGTTGCACATTGAATATCAAATAGAGATGGAGCGACGCTTTCAGCGCTGAAAGCGTCAAAAGGAACACAGCCATGATATCAGAACCCACTACTAAAATACTTTTTTGTGTTTTTTTTTAGAAAACCTAACTTCTCTGATATGTTTTTTTCAATCAAAAATAACATATATCATCAACCTATCTATCATCAACCTTGGTGGCGTGTGTGACCCATGGTGCCGCAGTATTGGGTGTCCCCGAATGCACTTAATATAGAAAACGGTGAAACGTAATAAAAAAAATAAATGATACATGATCGATTATCTGTAGTGTAGTAAAATGACAAAAGATGTTAGAAAGTTACACCTAATTTTTAGTACGTGTATATTTTACTACAAAAACAATATTAAAACATTTCTAAATGGTTAAAAAGAAATTTACGCATCACGAAAACCATTTATGTCACGTGCGTTTCGAGACTATAATACGGACTTTGATGACTTCCACATCTAATAAATACGAAGTATGGGCAACGAAATAATTGTCACATGATACTAATTGGGTCAACCTAAACATTCTGGATTACCCTAAACAGTCAATAACCCATGGTACCCTGTAGCTCATGGTGCCTCGGTCTCCTCTAACTATTGAATGTAATCAGTCACGTTAAAGCAAAATGAGCTTCACTTTTTCAGTGAAGTAATAGATGTTATAAATTAGCTATCACATAATGAACTTTTTGTCATTATAACAAATGATCATTATTTCGTAGAATTATCTCAATGCTAGATGCTACAATTCGGCCAAATTGCACTATCTTTAGTTGAAATATGTGATACATCTTCAAAATATAATATAATGCAAGCTTGAGGAGACAATCATGACAAATATCATAAGTTTTTATATCAAGGACAAGAAAAAAGTTATATATTTATCAAAGTTATATATTTATCAAATGTTAATTTGTTAATTATATATATATATGTTAATTATATATATATGTTAATTATATATATATATATAATAATATATATATTTATATTTATCAAATATATTTATAAACATATAAAAATTTGACATAAATAATTAAGCAAAGAGTTTATATACAGATATCACGTAGAATATTTTTGGAATTATATTCATATATTTTTGGAATTTGATTAAAGGGTGAGAGTGATAAAGGTGTGAGGCATGTCCATTGCCGCAATTTGTAGAGATCTGATGTCAGTTAGATTTAGCTGTATTTTATCCGTAAACACAGATGACCCAGACGGGTTCCATGGGTCAGATGGTAGTTGCACATCCATCGTGGTGGATATTTTTAATTTATCATCGATTTCCATACTATAGAAATATTCATTCTATAAGAAAAAGTTAAGTTCGAGCAAAAAAATTTAAATCATGAAGGAAATATAGCAATATACTAATTTTTCAATCAAAGAATTATTAAACTATTGAAACAGTAAATATTTATTAATATTCTCCATCCTAGTTGAACACATATGTTGAAGCAGTTAGGAAATTTATTACAGAAAATCACTAAAGTCGACGTGCAATAACTAACTTTTTTGTTTGTAATCTGAACAAAACAAGAATGATGAAAAATGTAACAAAGTATATAAAAAGTTAAACCGTGTACGTACCACTTCCATTCCATTCAAAAAGTCAAGAAAGTGTCTTGAATATTTGCAATTTTGTCTAGTCTTCGTAACACGTACATGCGTATCATTTTGTTTAGCGAAATGCTTCGCCAACGCTAACGGTATAACTTGAAACTTGGACTCCTGTTTCTCGTTTCTCTCGTATTGCCCATATAGGATATCCATATTGTACTTGGTTGTGCAAGTGCCTATTGGTGTCTTTTCCTCTGCGGTAAAACCAGATGGGAAATTCATATTTGCCAGTTTAGCCATTAGATCACTACCCATGTCGAATTGCTCAACAATATCTTTGATAATACCCTTGATTATCTTCTCAATGTTCATATTCACGATTATATCTTGTACACCACGCTCATTGAAATTGATGCCAAACCACTGTTCGGATTTAATATTTTCTTTCGAGACCTCTTCTGTAATGTTCGAATTTTGATACTTCAAGGTCGACAAGGTCATGACGTCTCGTAAGAAACAGAGTAAGGTAGTCTTAGATTGTAAAGGCTGACATATTAATACAGCAGTTAATTGTGTAATTTGAAGAGGCTCGCTGTATACTACAGTAGTTTTGTTCACATGAAACGTATATTCCACATTGCTCGTTCCTTCTGGGACGCTTGCGTTAAGTGCTAAATAAATGAAGAAAAAAATGTGTAGTCAGATATGATATATACCAGAATATCGTCATCAATATATGTATATTGTTATAAATATTATAAAAGTAATGGCTGCATTTGTTGAGGGATTTTATGCATAAACTGATAAATATGAACAATAAATATAAGTGAAATATGAACAAACATAATAAATAATTAAATCGAAGAAAACCGTTAAACAGTCAGGATCAGATGTTGCGGTTGCTGATGATAATGAACACGCGAAGTTGGATTCGAATAGCTGTACAGCTTACCTAGTAAGAACGGGATGAACGTGTAGTTTAGCATCGTGAAACAATCTACTTCTTGACACGTCCGCTAATGTTACTCTTATTTCTTTTCTGAGCTCCTTTATATCAGAACGTCACCATTAACCATCGTATAGAGAATGTCGATCGTTTCAATCCGCTTGTCATTACAGATTTACGTACACTGGCGGGCAACGATTCGTTTCCTGTGTACCTATGACGCTTCTATGTCCTCTTACCTCAGGAAACGAATCGCCAGTACGATGTAATACGATTCGAACGTTGGTTCTTTCCTCTATAACGTAAACAATATCGCAGTGATGTTTACATCTCGCTGTAAGCATATGCTGCGTGTCATCATACCCTTCCTTCCAAAGCACGTTCGAAATCCTCTGCGCGCAAACTTTCTATTAGATCTTACTGTAATTTATATAAAAAGTATTTTTGTACCGTAAAAGATTTAATCACATATATTATTATCACTAAAATAAAACATATATTTTACAAAAGATAAAATTTATATTCTGAGTAATAATAAGAATATATCTTTAAGTAATATTTAATTAGGTAATATATATGGTTTGATTATTTATTTAAATATTTATAAAATTATTGCTAATTATATACATATTTAAATGTCATATTTAATTCAATATAATTATACTACTCAATATATAATTAGACCCAGTCTGGCCAAGATCTAGGATGTAAAATGTCGTTTTTCTTCTTTTTTTCTTATTGGTCGTGTTCATAAGTGAATTGACAAGAAAATCACAGCAAACCTCTTCAAGAAACAGTATCGCAGTTTTATTATAACAAAATATTGTAATTGTAACTGTGTTAGTTATCTTACAATTCAAAAAATTGAATTAAATTTGTTCTTTCTCTTTCCTAAAAATTGTACATTTTTTAATTGTGACAGCATCAGAGTTAAGAAAACAGTCATATTTTTATCAAATGCTATTTAATAATATCTATCAACTACTTAATAACAGTAAATTCTGCAAATACAAAAAGATTTGACATAATATAAAGAGTTAAGCAGATAATTTATATACAGATATCACATTGAGGCTGCGGTCCACTTAACGCTACAAATGCTTCGAAGCATTCCTCTTCTCTTTTCTTTCAATGAAGAAAGAAGGAGAAAAAGAACGCTCCAAAGTATTTGTAGCGTCAAGTGGACCGCAGCCTGAATAATGTATATTTTTGGAATTTGATTAAATAGTCCTGATAGTAGTCCAGGAATGATACTCGTTCTGTGCTATAGTTTGTGGAGATCTGATGTTAGTTAGATTAAGCAGCATTGTTTCCGTAAATACAGGTGACCCAGATTGTTTCCATGGAATACGTGGTAGTTGCACACCCATCGTAGTGGACATTCTTAATTTATCATCCATTACTTCCATAGTATACAAATATTCGTTCTACAAGATTTATCATAGAAAAAGTTAAGTTCGAGCAGAAAAGTTGAAATAATGAGAAGTAAATATAGCAATATACTAATTTTCCAATAAAAGAATTATTATATTAAAACATGATAATAAATATTTATATTTTATGATTCTGTCGTTGCGCTATGTTGTCCTTTTTCATAAATATAAAATTCTCGATCCTAGCTGCATCCATATACCTACATGTCGCAATGATTTAATATGACAGTAATTGGTTGAAGCAGTTAAGAAATTAATTATAAAAATAAATCACTATAGCTGACGTGAAATAATAATTTTTTTTGTTTATTAGTAAAAAACAAAACAGGAATGATAAAAATATATATAAAATATAAAAAAATTAAACGTGTATACGTACTACTTGCATCCCGTTCAAGAAGGAGTCAAATTTTTCCGAATATTCGCAGTTCTCTCTATTTTTCTCAATACGTATACGCGTACTTCTTTGTTCAGCAAAATGCTTTGCCATCGCTAACGGTATAATTTGGAACTTGAAATGCTCGTTCCTGTCGTAGACTCCATATAGCGTATGCATATTGTGCTTGGTTGTGCAAACGCCTATCGGTGTCTCTTCCCTTTCGGTAAAAGTGGTAGAACCAAATGGGAAATTCCCATTTGCCAGTTTAGCCATCTTATCACCACCTATGTTGAATTGATTAGCAATATCTTTCATAATACTTCTGATCACCTTGTCAGATTTTGCAGGCACGAGTATATACTGTACACCATGCTCATTGAAATAAATCTCGAACCACTGTTCAGATTTGATATGATTCCTCGAGACTTCTTCTGTAACGTTCACATTCTGATACGTCAAGGTCGTCGAAAACGTGACGTTTTGTAAGAAACAATAGAGTCAATAGACAACTAGTCAATAGATAAGGCTGACATATTAGTGCAGCAGTTAATTGTGTAGTTTGGAGAGGGTCTCTGTGTACTACAGTAGTTTGATTGAAATCGAACAAATATTCCGCACTGAAATTGCTTTCTGAGATGTTTGCGTTGAGCGCTAAAAAAAATTGTTATATAAGTTAGACACGTAAAATAGACGGATGTTTACGTTTGTTGAGAGATTTTATGCACAAACTGACAAATATGATAATGAACATATGTGAATTAAGCTAATTGGATTCGAATAGTTGTATGATACTTTTGTTATATTATCTTACCCGACAGCAAGAACGGGACGAACGTGTAGTTCAGCATCGTGAAACAAATAATGTACAATATGTATATGTATTATGTCCAGGCATTCCTGCCGGTAGAGTGTACTTCCTGACAATCGACGTCCGCTAATGTAACTTTTCGTTCTTCTCTGAGCTTTTTTATATCAGAATATGCTCATCATTTAACTTTCCATTTAACCGTGTAGAGAAATATCTGTTCAACTCGCTTACCATTATTATAATTCGAGCGTTGGTTAATTCTTTTGTCTATAACATAAACAATATCTTTTGGCAATATGTTTACATTTCACATTTTAAATCCTCAAAAACTTCCCATATTAGATTTCACTTTATATAAAAAGAAATATTTTTGTACCGTGAAATATTAATTATATGCGTTGGTACCATTAAAATATGTGCAAAAACCATATGTTATTTTACAAAAAAAAAATTATATCCTGGAGTAATAATAAAAATATATATCTTTAAATATTTAGTTGTATAATATATGATTTGATTATTTAATTATGTAAATATTAATATAATTGTTACTAATTATTACTAATTAATATTTAACTGGCACATTTAATTTAATAATTATAAAATTTGAATACATACCTACCACGTGGGAAGAACACGTGGCTGTCACATTTGGCAAGTTTCTTTTAGCTGCACTGACTGAGCTGGGCTGAACTAGTGCAATAAGTTGGAGTGAGACAAGTATATTACATTTTACTCCAACTTAGTGCACTAGTGTGCACCAGTTCAGCCAGTGCAGCTAAAAGAAACAGACCCATTGACTGATGGCGGGAAATACCCGAAAGATACAAATGAAGGTGCGTTTTCACTCATGTCGAGATGTAGGCGACATCATATATCGGAGTCGCCGACATCGTATATCGTAGCCGCCTACGTCGTGTAACGTGGTAGCCTACGTCGTGTAAGGCCGGGTCTACATACAAGTCGGAAGACACTTGTCGGACGCCGC